CAAAGGGTGGTAGGAAAAGTTATTTTGATGGGTTCCTACTTCCTATTTCCAAAAAAAGATGTTGATGTAGGACAGGCTTGGTTGTTTTCCTGTTACATGAAATAGCGGTTAAACAAATCAGAGCGGGTTTCGAGGCCCCTTTTTCCTTTTCGGGCTTTGGTGTTGGTGTCTAAATTTATAAAAAAAGTGCTTCAAAGGAATTATCATGTCCATGAATAGATGATGATTGGAGATTACAGAAGCTAAGAAAGGAAAGTTATGCAGCTTTTACAGTAATATTGTATCATATACTAGGGTGGCTTCAAAGTTGTTGGCCAAAGAGGATTCTGATAGGCTGTTAAACCAATGGTAAAATAGTGATGTAGTTAGTTTTTGAAAGCTGAAGTTATTTAAAAACATGGGAAGATAACCATTGAATTAACTGTATCAGGCAACTCATATTCTCTGCTAACCATCTATTTATACTACAAAGTCCTGGACATTTACTTGCAACAACTCGATGCTATTAAAACTGGAGAGCTAAGCTGTACTCTAAAACTATCTAAGCTGTGCAGGCTGCCCCTAGTCCAGATCTCGGAAAAATTCTTAAGAATTATATAACTCTTAGCCAAGATGAAGTTTATATAAGCATATTACAATGAGGTAACATTAGAATTGATTGGAACATAAAACAAGATTAAATACTTTTTAGATGTCAGTTCTCAACAATCTAAGTAGGCTATGCCTGAGATGAAGCAAAATCTGTATTTTGTCAAATGCATTTTGTTTTTTCTTAATGTCTAATAGGTACAAATGCTTTTGTTTTGAAGTATATGAGCCCGAGATTCTGCAGAATCTGGTGATGCAACTCTTGATTTCAGTCCAAATGTCTTCCTTATATTTGTGTTCAAACCAAGATTCGCATTGCTAGGAACTTCAGACCTTCAGGCTCATATACTTGAAACAAAGCTTTTGTTTGTTGATGCTCTTCTGGAGTGAGTAGATCAGTTCTTTAAGTTGGTCAGGTTGAAACTCCGTTGAATGGTGGCATCACTTCTTGTTTAACCTGTCCTATGAGTTATCGGTGCGTGCTGAAGATGAATGGGAGAGAGATCACTTTGAGAAAATTTGGCATTACTCTTAATATGAAAGTTTTATCGCTTACCTTTCAGGATGTTGGCAACTGTTATGAATGCAATATTCTTACAAGCTACAATGGAGAGCATTGGGATCCCTACAAGAGTCCAGACTGCATTTCGAATGTCGGAAGTTGCTGAACCATATATCCGTAGAAGGGCTGTTAGGCATCTCGAGAAAGGGAGGGTAGTAATTTTTGCAGCAGGAACTGGGAATCCCTTCTTCACAACAGACACTGCTGCAGCTTTGCGTTGTGCAGAGAGTGAGTTCTACTTTTTTCCTGATTCAGATCTTCTACATGCATGGAACTTTGACATACTTGCAAATTGAAGTAAATTCTGCAAACTATCATTCTTCCTTTCTAAATTGGAGAATTTAGAAAGCAAAAATAAGAAGCAAATGTTACAAGCTCTCCATAACGTAAACAGTCCTATATTTGAAAGACATTCTAAACGGAGTGGATAATAACTAAAGTTCCTTCAGAGGTGATAATTTTCCTAAAATCAATTCTTCATGGATCATGTGAAACTATTCGGCTAAGAATATACTAAGTTCATTGTATGCCCACTTCAGCACCTAAATGTTAACTAGTAATTTATTTCCCATTAAATGGAAATGTCGCATAACATTGGACCTGATTGAATAGTTTGTCCCCATATGGTTCTCGTCCAAGTGATGATGTGGTCTATGAGACAAATGAGGCTCTACTACTGGAACATATATAAGATTGCACGTCTCTGTTTTTTTTTTTTTTTTTTTTTTTTT